ATTTAGTATTAGATCTATAAATACAAAATTGATTCAATAATTGCATAATTAACAATATAACTTTTTTAAAGAGGACACTTCTCAATATTGTTTATATTAAAATGAATTGTATATCTAAAGTTATTATAAAACAAATATAAAAATATGAGTAAGATCTAAGGAAAACAATAACACATATTAAACATATTATATATAAACTTAAATTTATCATTGACAATGACAAGTTTATGAATATGTCAAATAGAATGGTGGCATTACTATTAAACTATTTTGCAAAATTTATTAATAAAATTAAAATCTTGAATGAATATACTAATTAATTAAAAAGACTTAAAAAATGAAAGGTATAATATAAAATAATATAGAAGAATAGAAAGAATAGAAAAATAAAAAATAAAAAAATAGGATAAAATGAAAAAATAAGAAAGATAAAAGAAATCAAATAAAGAATATACAAATTAATTAAGAAATAAAATCAAAAGTGTGATAGTTTCAATGTGTTAAAAGAAAAGGAAAAAGAAATGATTAGAAGAGGTGTATATAAAAATAATGATAATAATGATGGTCATATAATATATAATGAAAAGAAGAATGAATAATTGAAGAAGAAATAATATAGAAAAAGATATAAAAAATTAATAATAAACAAGAGAAGAATAAGATAAAAGAAATATGAAAATAAAAGAATAGAGAAAAGAAGATGATAAAATAGAAATAAAGAAAAAAGGAATGAGAAAGAACAGTAAGTAAGATATAAAGAAAAGAATATAAAAAAAAGAATAATAATAAAAAGGGAATGATATAAATAGATAAAAAAGGTAAATTAGAAGGATAAAAGATAACATAATAGAAAAACATAAATAAAAAGATAAATAAGAAGTTAAATAAATAATAAAATAATAAGAAAAAGAAATATAAAAATGAATAAAAAAGTAAAAGTAAGTATATTAAGAGAAGTATAGATGAAAAATAAACATTAAAGAAATAATAAATAATAAATAATATAATAGATTAAATATCAATTAATGAAAATAAGAATAAAGAATATAACAAATATAAAAATTAAAGACTATCTAATTACAAAGTTAAATAAGAAATAATACTTTAGATAAAACAATAAGAAATAATTTCATACAAAAAATAATAATACTATTAAAACATTAAATATCTATCTAATTTTTCACAACATTGACCTCTTATTTTTAATTAACTTATGTTTATTTTTAGATATTTTGGTTAATAGATTTTTTCTTTGACATGATATTTGAGAATTCGAGAAAGGAATAATAATAATAGTGTTAAAGGGTTTTTGAAAATACTATATTTAACATGGAAGTAATTAAGATATAATTTATTATAGAAAAGTATTCCTTAAATTAGAATATCTAAAAATAACAAAAGAATCAAGTGAATCTAACTTTGAAAATTCAAGTTAACTCAACTCAACTTAAATTCTCTATTCATCTTATTTTAGAATAATAAAAAATACTAATAAAATATTTTAAAATAATTGAAAATTTTTCTCATTAATATAATTTTGTTAAAATATTGGAAATCTTCTTGAAGCAACAAGAAAACAAGTCAAAAGATAAAAAGGAGAGATAGTGTTAATTTCAACTCGAATAAAAGAATGTTGAGTGGAACATAAAAATGAGTAAATATTGATGAAGTGTGGCATATTTAAAATGAAGCTCTGAAAAAGAACATATTCAATGTTCACATTTTTATTGTTTATTGCATTTACTACTGCAACTAATATTATTCTTGATATTGACCAAGAGGTAAAAGATACTAAGATTTACAGTGTATTTTTAAAGAACGAAGCTAGTCCTGAAAAACTTGAAGAAAATAAAGAAGATGAAGAAAAAGAAAAAAGTAGTTCATCAAACACAGGTGATGAACCAGACAATAATTCAGAAGCAAAATCAGATGATGAACCAGAAGCAAGTTCAAACGATAAGTCAGATGATAAAGTAGAAGCAAGTTCAAGTGATAAACCAGAAGCAAGTTCAAGTGATAAACCAGATAATAAACCAGAAGCAAGTTCAAGTGATAAACCAGAAGCAAGCTCAAGTGATAAGCCAGAAGCAAGTTCAAGTGATAAACCAGATAATAAACCAGAAGAAAGTTCAAGTGATAAGCCAGATAATAAACCAGAAGCAAGTTCAAGTGATAAACCAGAAGCAAGTTCAAGTGATAAACCAGATAATAAACCAGAAGCAAGCTCAAGTGATAAACCAGATAATAAACCAGAAGCAAGCTCAAGTGATAAACCAGATAATAAACCAGAAGCAAGTTCAAGTGATAAACCAGATAATAAACCAGAAGCAAGCTCAGCTACTAATTCAAATGATAATTCAGAAAGTAGTTCAGATGATCATAATAACCTTGATGCAGCATCAAGTCCATTCATTATTCTCTTTGCTTTCATTATGGCTATTGTCTTCTAAATGAAGTTAATTGACTTTAATTTCTTTTTTATTAATGATAATTAATAAATATTTAAAGGATATTATAGAAATAAGGTTCTAAGTTAGGATAAATATTTCTATTATATTATTCATATAAAAATAGTATTTAATCAAACAAAATAAATAATATACTACAAATATACAAAAAGTAATCTATACATGAGTGATTTAATATATCATAATTTGGATTAATTTACCTTGCATATAATCTGTTTTATTCTTCTTTGTTAATTTAATAATTTGAACCTCTTCTAATAAGTTAGAAAATAAAAATTACTATATTTAATAACTAAACTTTATTTTTTGTTCATTAAACATAAAATATCAAAAATTCATGATAATTTAATAATTATTTTAGTAATACAATAATCAACTCATCTTATTCATAATTTTATTTATTATATTCATTTTAAATTATTATTAATGTAAATGAATTTTAAATTATAATGATTGAGTAACACAAATGAATTATATTCTTATTAACTGTTACATAGAATTATATTTAAAAATCCATTATTTAACTAAATTGACTAAATGTGATTAAATAATACAGATAAAATAACAAATAAGTATGAACTAATAATATAATATTAATGTTAAAATGATGAAATTAAATAAATAAATAATTTAAATTAATAAATTATAAAGAATTGTTTTGATTATTACAAATGAATCATCATTAATTATATAAATATTGATACTCAACTAATTTATTTATCTATACTATTAATTGATTTTTAATATAACTTATTAGGATAATAATTTCTTTTATCCTATGTATATTAATAAATTAATAAAAAAATAGTTAATTAAGTGTTAATAGATTTATTTTCTATTATTCCTTGCTCGTGGGAGACTAACTAATCCTATCCCTTTGCTTTAAAGGTGTTTATTCAACAACTATTAGATTATTCTTTGCTTTTAGTTGTTGAGTTGTGATAATTTCCTTTTCTCATTTATTTATTGTGGAGTAGAGTATTTTAAAATCCCTTACTTAAAAATCCTTATTTAAGTTTCTTTTTGATTTTGATGGATATTAAAATTTTTCTTCTTTATTTTCTTATTTTAAGGAGAATATATAATTACTACTATATTGCCATAGGCTAATATTCTTTTTAGTAACAATCACCAAACTATTTTTCTTTGATAATCCTATGTTATCAAATACACTTGTATCCTAACAAGTAATAATGCCATCTTTAAAAATACCCTTCTTTTATTATCATGATACCTCATCATTGTAAATAATAATCACTGCTATTCTTGTAGTATTGGGCAAGATGTTTTTCAACCAAACGCAACGCCATAACCAGTCCATAACTGGGGACCCGAAGGCTGGAAATATTTTAGGGAACTGTGAAGTATCTCTAACGTGCTACTTTAGAATCGTATATTAACAAATTAATGAAATAAATAAAAAAAAAGAAAAATGGTCCCGGCGGGGATCGAACCCGCGACCCTCGCATTTCTCTTTTCTATAAGTACGATGCACTACCGACTGTGCTACGGGGCCTTCTTATTTATTATATTATTATTATTATTCAAATTTATTGAAATTTCTTATACTTTGATTATTCTTTTATTTATTTTTTGTATTTTATTAATTCTTCTTTTATATTTATTATCTTTTCTTTTTTTGTTATTTATTCTTTATCTTTTATTAAATTATTTAACTTCTTTGTCTTTATTTTTTATTTATTCTTCATTCTTTTTCATTTATATTATTTTACTCTTTTCAATGTATTGTTTGTACTCATTTTCTATTTTTTTATTCCTTTTTATTTCTATATATTTATTATTCATTTTATTTATTTTTCTTGTTTAATATTTATTTTGATACAAATACACATGACTCAACAATTTTAGATGATGAATATAAAAATAATGATGAAATTTGAGTAGATGGAATAGACAAAATAGTAAGTGATCGATTATCTTGAATTAATGAAAAAATACAATATATCATATTCATCAAATCTATTCTTTTTTATAATAATTTAATTATTTTATTAGATAAAATACAAGCAGGAATATTCAATTATTACTTTTTTTAATTTATTATCTGTAACATCTTTTTGAGTTCAATTTATGTATTAATTAATTATGTTGTCTTTGTTAATATTTTTATTTCTTTAAAACTATTCCTTAAATTATTCTTATGATGATATGAAACGATTTTTGTGATAATATAAAATGGTGTTGAAGAGAATAAATAAGCATGAGATATAAGAACTATCAACGTTTGAGTGATTAATAAATATGGCAGATTTCTTTGTTGTTCAACTAAAAACAATCAAAGTATCAAACTGTTATTGAAGAAGATTTGCTTTAGGACATGAGAAAGAAAGATTTAATCATTTTGAATATTGCTGAGTGAGTGTAATGTAATTGAGAGAATTTGTGGAAGTAAAGAAGATGTGTTAATGATGTAAACATAATTTGGTTGGTGATGATAATAAGAGAGAGAATAAGAATGATATTAGAAATATAGAGATATTCTTCTGTTGATTTAGATATTATTAACATCTTGAATTCATGAATTTATATCTTTCTTTATTATGGCATTGTTGAATATTATGATTACAACAAAAAACACAGAAATAAATATCCTACTAAAAACGTAATATCTGTGAATGTGATTACACATATTCTGTAGTGAGAGAAATCATACATAGATTCTTTACTGATTGTTTATGTGAAAAGTACAAATGTTTAAATGAATTAATAGAGTTGTATCAACTTTTTTAATATAGTATCACAATTATTGAAAGTTCTTTCAATAAAACAGTTTTAGAGAACAAATAAATAACCAAAGCTGAAAATAACTGAATAAAAACATAATTGAAAGAATAAAGTTTTACTAAAACAACAATTAAACTACTATAGAAAATTATACATTAATATTAAGTTAAGTTAACGTAGAAATAACAAAGATAGAAAGATCAAAATTAATCTATTTAATTATAAAGATGTGAACTTTGGATCAGCTTAATCTAAGTTACAAACTAAATTAATATGTCGTTCATAAAAATATGAAGAATTTTACAGTACAGTTTAGGTTATAATGAGAATTAAACTATAAAAAATATTATTAAAAATAAAATGAAATTATAATTATTCACTATCTAATTATAAAAACTTGTCAAGCTATTGTTCATGGTAAAAGAATGAGGTTTAACTCTAATTGAAAACCAAGACGTTGTTAGAATAATTGTTGTATGGTTCAGAAAACTACTATCCATGAACAAATACTTTTAAATGATTATTTGCATAAAAACGACAAATAACATATTATTTTTTAGTGATTTTGAATACGTAACATCTGAAGATAACAACAATATTTTGTATAAGTATCAAATACAATGTATTTAACATTGCTGATGATTTCATTAATTTTTATTGACATAGAAAGGGGAACCAAAATAAGCAAAGAAATAATGAATCTAAATAAAAAACACAAAAAAAAAGAAAAAGGAATAAATATTTTGAATCAATAAAATAATAGTTTTTATTATTTTGTTCTTAAAAAAATAAAAAAGTAAATTAAATACTCGTTCTATATTCATTTATATTTGTTTATATTTTATATCAACTTATGGTAAATTGTTCTGAATTATAAATGTTTCAGAAATGATATTTGGTTCAATGTATGTACACATTTTTATATTATTTTTATATTATGTTATTTATGTATTTTATTTTTATATATTTATATAATTTATTATTATATTTATTTCTATTATTGTATTATATATCATCATTTTATCTATATATTTTATATTTATCTTATTTTATTAGTTTTATATTCTTATTATTTATTATTTTCTTTTATATATTTTATTTATTATTATATCATTTCTCTTATTATTTCTTTATCATTTATTATTATTTATTTATTTTTTATATCTTCTATATATATCATATGAAATTATTATTTATTATTTATCATATATTACATATTGTATAATAATCATATAACATTTATATTTGATTATATATTATCTTTTTCTTCTTTTCTTTTTTATATTATTTTATTTTTTATTTGAATATATTTGTTTTTGTATTCTTGTATTTATTTTATTTCTTATTTTTTGTGTTTATTTTATTCTTATTTATCATATTTATTATTTATATTATGTTATATTTGATTTTATTAATTATATTAATTAGTATTTTATTAATATAAATATTATGTTTATTATTTTATTATTTATTTATTTGTATTATTTATTTTATCTTTTCTTATTATTCTTTTATTATTTTATGTTTATTATATTTTATTTTTTTATTTCTTTTTCTATGTATGTTTTTATTATTTTTATTTATTATATATATTTCTTTTATTCTTATTCTATTATTATTTATATTTTTTATTTATTTTATTCATTCGATTGTTTAATAAAAAATATATTCAATTTTATTCTTTGTTTATTATTATTATTTATTTTTATTTATATATTAATTTGATTATTATATTTATATTATATCTATTTTTTGTATTATTATTATTATTTATATTTTGTATTATTATTTATTTATTATTATCATTTTTATTTTTATTTATCATTTTGTATTATATTATTCAATATTTCATGAATTTAATATTTATTATGAAATCATTTATTAATTATTTCATTTTATAATGATATATTATTTAAATTATTTTGTTATATCACATTGATTATCAAT